GGGACACCATTTCAGGTTGTAGTGGAGAATCATTTTCATGCTCGTTTAAAAAAATCCGAGTATATTTCACAGGCAATGTGTCTTTCTGACTTCTGCGAAAAAAAATGAATAAGCAAATAGTTCAGGCTTAATTTTCACATTATTCTTTATAGCTCCCTAAATAGAGGAAACCTTGCTATTATAACTTAGTATATATAAGTCACGGAATAAACACTTCCAGATACTCTTAACACACATTCACATATACACAAAACAACAGGAGAATTTAAGCTGTAGAATAAAATAGGCAGTTATGTGTTTAAATAACCTTGCAAAATGAATCTGAGGGAAAACATGACAGGATAACTTAATACATGAAAAACAAAAATTACCTAAACAAACGTTTGTGCTACTTGATCCTGGATTGTTATACATGGGTATATAACTTTATGTACCAGAATTATTAATTATCTAATACCTGTTTGGATTATTAAAATGGTAGAAATTAGTTTCTCTAAAGGTCCTTTTCTGACAGTACATTTGATGATATGGACATCTGTTATCCACTCTCTGAGAATGCAACAATCACACATGGAATGTTATGAACTGCCTGCGCTGGAAAATCTCTCAGATTGAAACATAAGGTTTCTTTTGCTGCAGAATTCTGAGTACTTTTCATTGACAACAAGTTGTACTCTGTAGAGGTGAAATTCTACTCCTTCAAGAAGTCAATATGATGCTTAATGATGTCAGTGGAGCAAAAAATTCAGTTCTACTGAATTGCAGGTAATGGTAGCATGATCCTTTTCTGCAGATGGACATAAGTTTTGTATGTGTGCCTGGGTGGAATATGGAAAAAAGTACACTAAGAGTTCAGGTTTGCAATGCATTTCATGAGGAGTCAGTGAGGGATGCCAGTAGAACTTTACACAGAGGTGAATCTCTTTCTCTTCAGAAATATAGCCTAAGTCCTTTATCTGAGTTAATTCTACCTATCTAAAGAACAAGAATTTAGTCTGACTGTCAGCAAATCGTTGTTCACAGGGAGAAAGACTGTTGCTGATGACTACCTTAAACTGTCCTGAAATGAAAGTAATTTGGGATGGAAACTCCATCTGCCATTGGAAGAGCCTACACTCAGTTTTCAGATGATAGCTGCTAGGTGAGATAAGCTCCCCTTGAAGGGATCTCTGATTAAAATTGAGTTAGGAGCAGGATATTTTATCAAATATATGGTCATTTCATATGTCGAATCATCTCTGAAAACATATCTCTGATCTGTGCTTCGCGCTTATTCTATTTTAAACTACTGTTTTTATGGGAAGGATTAAATTACAGTGGTTGAGAGAAGATGAATATTTAAGAATGATTATGAACAAATTGTGGGCCATAGACAGGAAATGGACATGGCTGAGCAAGGACCTGCTGATCAACCTGAGAGATAAGAAGGAAAAATAGTAGGCAGAGGAAGCAGGGATGGGTTGCCTGGGAAGAATATAAGGTGACTGTCCGGACATGCAGAGATGGAAGGAAGAAAGCCAAGGTGATATGGAATCAAACTTGGTGAGGGATGTGGAAAATTATAAGAAGGGTTTATTTAGATACATCAGGAAGAAGGGAAAGGCACACGAGAGTGTACTCCATCTGGCAGTGAGAAAGAAGAACTAGTTTCAACCAACATGGAGAAGGCTGAGGTACTCAGGTCGTTCTTTCTTCAGCGGCAGTCAGTTTTCCCATACAGCTCATACTCCTGAACCTCTAGGCAGGATTTGAGAGAGTGAAATCTCTTCCCACTGTAAGAGCAGAATAAGTTTGAGACCTTATGAGGCAGAATATGCAGAAGTCTATGGGGCCATGCATTCTAGGATCCTGAAGGAACTGGGAGAGACCCTGGGCAGCCTGATCTGGTAGATGGCAGCCCTGCTTACAGCAGAGAGTTGGGACTAGATAATCTTTAATGTCCCTTCACACATAAGCTATTCTATGATTTGATGACTCTAAGATTCGATGACTCTATGATTCTATAGTTCTTTTGGAAGGTGGAGGGGGGGGGTATTTTTCATACTTTTACTTTTGTGCTTTCAGTCATACTGCATTTCATTCAGACCACAAATGGCAGTGTCAGTTTGTAAGTCATCAGCCTATGAGGTTAATTAACTGCTGATTAACTTTCACTTACTGCCAAATGTGGTCTTGAAGCTGAAGATGAAAAAGTGAATGCAATTTTTGTTGTTATTGTCAAATTATGTCCAATATCTGCAGATTTTCCTGCATTTGGAAATTGTTGTAGTGGAAGAAGCCAGATAAGCATTACTTCTCAGAAGTACCACTGTTTGACATGTAATCGCTAATTACTGAGTATTTAACGTGTGCTTTGCACCCAAATAGTAACTAATAAGAATATTCTCTCCCATAGATGACACAAACTAAACAAACGTGTGCTGTGCCTTTTAGAACTCAAGAAGTGTAATTTTCAGTAAGGAATGTGAATTATCTACCATCTCCTGGCAGATTTCATCCAGAAGCTGCTTGGTGTGTCTTCTGTCTTGGACATGCGAGGTCCTTTATGTGAGCAACCAGATATGTGAGCCACTTTCCTTCCCATAGATAAACAGAGACAAGTGGACATGGCAGCTGAATGACCAAAGGGACAATGCCTTTAGTTTAACAAGCAGGTGTAAGCTAAATTAAAAAGCATTGTTCTGGATAGTCTTTTTTAAGGTAAGCGCAGTGCCAGATTGTGGGTGGCATTTCAGCCTGCCACTCCAAGTGAGTGAAGATGATGCTGAGCTCAGCCATCATCCACACTGGGTATCCACAACAAAGGAGGCAGAGAGCCCATACAGATACAGTAAGTGAGAGTAGCCCAGGGTTGACTAAAGAGGCAAAACAACATAAGCGCTGAATATGAGGGTAAAACATTCAGGAAAACTCATGTCCTAAGGATGTGAGTCCTAAGTGGATCAATTTTTTATCCTGTTAGCCAAACCTGGCTCTGCAGCAAGGCAAGCCAAAGAATGTCTTCTTTATTGTTTCCATGATGCTTACTCATCTACAAGCCATTCCCCTTTTAGATTATTCTATTTTTAAGGCATAATTTCCATCTGTTCTTTGATCTAATACTACATAAGACATTTAGTTAATAACATCATCCATCAAATACCAACTTTCCTTTAGAGTTCAAACACAATCGACACAGGACCCCGTCCATCTGCTGGCCAGTGCCTCTGAACAGATCCAGCTTGTGAATGGCCAGCTATGTCGCCTATTTTTTAATTAACCAGCTAAGGTCTGCTCTTCCTCGTGCTCCGTACTGCCTCGGGATGACTAGGGGGCACTCCAAAGGGAAGGAAAACATGCTCCACTGTGGGAGTCAAAAAAGAGGTTTAGTGCATCCAGAGCCATGCACAGACAAACGTGTTTGGGATGCTCTAGTTGTAAGTAGGTTTCTCCACTGGATGGAGTCTGCCTTCAGCCTTCCAGGGCATTCATTTTTGCATAAAAGACAATATTTATGTAAAAGGTTTGAAGGAAATCATTTTCAAACACTGACAATCACAGAGGATAGAAAAGAAAGAATGTTAGCTAGACATCTTAAACATGCCTTTGAGAGCATATGAGGGTCTATTTGAGAGAAATTTCAGAATTTGTGGCTGATCATTTGAAGCACCTGAATTGCAGATTTGCACACAAATATGTCTGCTTACTCAACTGGGAAGCCCAAGAATGTCAGATGATTTGGGTGACCAATTGCAGTAAAGCAGCACAGCTTGAATTTGGAATATCTGAGAACAATCACAGCTCACATAAAATCTAAAAAATAATTCTCAGGAAAAAAAAAAAGAGATTAATGAGTAACTCAGTGAAAAAGCAGTTTCCCTGTGGATATTTTACAAGTGCAAACACATATAAAAATTTTTAATTATTATTTTCAGATTATTTTCTTAGCTCTAATTACCTCACTGCACTGTGGTTTGCTTTGTCTTGTACACAGCACATTTATTTAGAATGGAATTTTATTCAGGACTTGTATTCCATTGTCTTACATGTGCCCTTGCATACATATCTCCAGATCTGAAACAGTAACAACAACAAAAGCCTACGTTTCCTTCTATTCCCTGGCTTGCCAATAATAAGAAGTCCCTGCAGAAGGGAGCTTGGCTGGTGGCGTTTTGTGATTTCTCAGATAACAAGAGCTTTGCATTTCTGTGGAATTCCCATTTGCCAGCGAGCTGCTGCTGCCGCTGCCCTGATTGATATATGACTGCAATGGCACTTTTCCATTTGACATTCTCTCTCCCTCTCTCTCCCTCTCTCTTAAACAGCCCTAACTTTTGTGTGTTGCAAATATAAAAGGCAAACCATGTGACAGAGGGACAGCAGAACAAAAGCATTTGGAAGCAACAGGACCTCTTTTTAGCTCTCTGAAGAGCTGGAAGGAAGGAAGGAGCAGAGCATTCGCTGAAGGTAAGCACACAAATAAGTTTCCTCTAGGTTTGAGTGTTTCATGGGCTTAAATTTAGCACTTAATCTGACAAACACGTGTTCTCTGTGTGTTGGCTTTTAATTAAAATGCGATACTGTAGACTGGGCAAAGCTCTACTACCTGTCTCCTAATCCTGTCTTTAGATCTGTCTTCTGCCTGAAAGATGCCTGTAAGCAAGCAGAGAGGTAGCACAGTCTGAGTAACTTGATTAAACTTTTACTTTTGTGAGTGTGCCAGGTTCTTGTTTGTATGGCTTGAAGTGAATGGACGAGCTGGGTGCTGCCCCAGTTGTTATTGCCATCACTGGCTTTGTCCCATTGTAGTAGGGAGCTATGGATGCAGGCAAGCCTGCTACTTTAAAACCGAGCTGTTTACTTTTATTCCTACTTGTGCACAATCTTCTCTTGCCAATCATCTGCTGGAGCACTCAGAATAATTAAAAACAACAGGCAATATTTATTTCTAGCTTTGCGTGTCATGCTCTGTGGGAGCACCCTTAATTTGCACGTTATTATTTATCCAAACTTCTGGGAAGCTTTACTACAGACTGGACAGCACTGGCTACGGATTAGGCTAGGTTTCATACCCATCCTTGATTGGCTGAAGCCTGTGAGGGAAGCCGTGGCTTTTGCCTTTGCCGTAGCCCCGCAGGGTATATTTAGTAGGTAGCCGACCCTCGGCACGACGCGCCGTGCGTGTGGCCGGGCGGGCAGTCTCTGGGGTGGGAGGATGCTGCGCGGGACCCCCGGCCGCCCGCTGCGGGAGGGGGAGGCTCTCGGCATCCTGAAATCCCGGCATGCCGGGGCACCGAGTCGCTGTGCAGCGGTGTCAGGGGACGAGCATGGCTGTTCTCTGCCTCTCAGGGAGAAAGGAAGAGTTTTGCTGTTGTGAGCCAAGAGATAAAGCAGTAGAGCAGTGTAAGTACAGTCCTCTGGAGTGGATAGGGAGAACCCCGCTGAGGAGGAAAGCCCCATCTCTCTGCTGAGACTCAGGTAAGAGAATTCAACCTATAAAAGTTCAAATTGATGGGTTCAGTAGCAAAACAAAAAACATCCCCAAGTAATGAAGTCAAGTGATGTGAGGAGCAGTCTCAGCTGTTTGTGCTGCATTAGCTAGATATTCCAATGTCAGTAGAATGACTCAAACTGAATGTGTGTTTGAGGTGATAATTTTCTTGTGACAGATATGATTTTGCAAGGCAGTGTGTGTGCACTGACTCCTCTGTGACTGTCAAGCAGATTTCTTATCCTACCTTAAAGCTGATTTAAATTTCTCCCCGTGTCCCCATAATACATCCTATTTGTTTCTACCTCTGACTGATGGCACAACAAGTGACTCGCTCTTTAGAAATGAAAGAACAATTTTTCTTTGCTAAACATTGCAGTTTCTAAGGTTTTGTGACTCTGTCCTAGTCAACATCATAGTCACTGGGAAGCGAGGACTCCACACTTAAGATCCTCATGGGTGCTTTCCAACTTGGGTTATTCTATGATTTTATGAAGTGCTTATTTAAAACCACCAGTGGGTACAAACTCATTCCAAATCAGTTCCTCACTGTAAAATTATTTCCTACTAGAACAACCCGTATGTCTGGTGCAGGTCAATGAATGCAGATACAATAATCACAGTGCTGTGGTTATTTGTCCTTCCTCCAAAAAAAATCTATGTCTTAGGATCTTTTTTTTTTTTTTTTTTTCTTGTTGAATTGCTAATGGTGCTCAGTTTTGCCCAGACTGTGAGACCTTATTCATATCTGTGAGCAGTTATGCACATGAATAATTCCCTTGACTTAAATAGAACTGTTTAGTGAGTAATTACTTACCAGCTTGAATCAGAGGTTACCAATGTGACTTGTACCTTGATGTTACTCATGCTGGAGCAATGCAATCTTATTTGTAATACTGGTTTTATAAAAATATACTGTAAGATTTTCCAATTACAAGCAAATGGGGAAGGAACAGGAGATGTTTCCAACTTACAAAATAGGAAGAAATTTAATTTAGTTAAGGGATATAATTAGAGGCTACCTCTTCTTATTCTAATTACTGTCTTGTTACAGACAGCCTTGTGTAGCTAGCTGTAGCAATACCCCAGGTAGCCATCACACTGCGCTGTTCTCAGCAATAGCCATTGCCCCCAACAGAACAATCCCTAACGTGCCATAGAGGCTTAGGCAGCCCATATATGCTTTTGCTTGTTTGAGTTGCCAGTGCTGTAGTATCTTTTGCCAGGTCGGGAGGTGAACCACCTTCTTCCAGGCTGGTGCTGACTTTTTTGACAAGGAGCCCTTGTGGAGTTGAATTCATTCCCCATTTCCCTGGGGCTGTTGCTATCCCCTTCCCTGTGTGTCTGCTGACAGATGCACTAGGAAGTGAGCAAGATTGCTCTTGAACTTTGGAGGGAGCTGAAGACTTATGCTGCAGAGCTTGCGTGAAGTCACTGAGACATACATTTTTGCAACAAATCTAGAAGATCACTTGTTTAACGGAAAGTAGAATTTTAAAAAGATCCCGTTTCTCCCAAACAATACTATTGTAATTACAACTACCAACTACTATTACAAATAGAACAAGTTCCTCTGCCTCTAATGTGCTGCTGAGTACCAGGAGGCACTTGCGTCTCTGAGGTTTGGAAAAGTTTCGCTACATGAGCCTGCATTGCAGCGCCCTGTTATTTGAGTAATCACCTCTTGAGCGTGGCTGGAAGCGGCCACATCAAAGCAGAGCACAGAGACCCTGGGGCAGACAGCAACAGGGGAACTTGCTGCCATGAAGGATTTTTCCCTAGCCCCATCAACCGAGCTCTCAGAGTCCTGAGAGCTTACAGCCCTTCCCAAAACTCTTTAAAAATAAAACCCTTCAGACTGCAACCCTCTCATACATATCGAGTCCTTTTACTGAGCCCTGCTCAACTTTTGCCCTTGTGATATCTTGTTCCATTGGATCACTGCGGGTTGTGTAACCACGTATTTCTTTTCATCAGTGTTCAGCATGCAGCAACTCCACTCCTTGCCCTTCCCCACACCCTGGTATCTTGGGATAGGGGTGAGTAGCTGTGCCCACTTCACCTTTTTTCCTGCTATTTCCTTGTTTCTTGCTGAACAGCCCTCATGCAAGCCTTTTGGCAAGAGAAATGCTGGATTGCTGCTGGGTTAGCTCAGCTGTCTGCTTCTGACCAAGAGCACCCCATTTTGCCCACAGTTCTTTGCAGGCATATGAAGAGATGCTGCTGTCTCTGCTGGATATGATCAGCTGTTATTTCCTTTTTATATGTGTCAGTGTGGAACATATTAAAATTTCTCAACAGTGGTATGCATGGAATCCTTCTGATGCCCCACCTCTAACTTAGCTGAACAATAAAAGCAAGGTTGTAGTAAGCCTTTGAGCAGCTGGCGGTCTATATATTCCTTCTTTTTTCACATAATCTAATTCAGACGATTACCCGGGTAGCAGTGGCACTACCACTTTCAGACACCAACAGTTCTTGTCCCCTTTGTTGGAATTTCACTGTGTGAATTTCACAGAGATCCCTCTTACCATGGGCAATTCCAGCCTTTCTTCTGGCATCCCAGCATTTGGCTGCTGATGCCATGGAGACAGTGCACCCAGGAATTCCACTGCATTGCTGTTCTTCAGCTTCTCTTTGTTATTCTTCTACCTGCATCAATCACTGTTATGGCTCATGCTTGTCACATTTTCATGCTGATTGTTACGGGGCTGCAGACCTCAGTTTAGCAGAGGAGGCAGCACAGGTTACATTGCCCTTTAAGACATGTGAGTTGAAGATCTGAGTTAATGCCTCCACTCTGGTTTGGCAAAGGTTAAGCATACCATGGCAGTGACAATCGCATTACTGTCATAGCAGCACAGCTCAAAGAGAGTGGGACCTAGGGGAATGCTGCTAGATGACATAAAATTGCTGCCATGAGCCAAATGCTTAGGTTCTGTAATTAATCGAGGTGCATGGATGTTAGTCTGAATTTTGCCTGTCTATAAAAGAAGAGAGGATTTTGCTACTGGGAATATTTCTTTCAGTCATGGGCTATCTCCAGTTGCATAGCACACTGCTCATCCTGGTGGTAGCGATGTCTTTGCTTAATGTTAAAGAATGAGAACCTCATTCCTGAATCTAGTGATAACTACAGCTCTTCAGTAAATGCATTAAAGTAATCTCTAATCATCAGACGAGCAGTATAATGAAAGCCAGAGAACCAGAAACATCCACTGTTTTGTAGCACACTCCAACAGGTAAGAGAACACATGCCCGAATGCCCTAGACCTCTCAGCAACTTGTAATTTGGCCAAGAGTCATTTTAACTTATGTTGGGTCATAAGACTAACACAGAGGTAATTACTGAAGCAGATCCTATAGCTAATGCTGAGCTGGGAATATTTGCATGTGCCCAGCAGCCTCCAACCTGCTGGTTTCCTTCTGGGAGAGATGGGAACCTTTTGAATATAGTTTGGCTCTGAACCTGAGGGGCAATGCCATTCAGCACTGTTTCAATAAGCAAGAGCAAAGCTGGATTCCTCCCTGTTTCCATCTCCAACTGATGATCAGAACTGCTCTGTAAGACACAAGATTGAATAAGGAGTCCAAAGCTGGCATCACTGTGCCATTAAACAGTTCTGCCTGCTCTGGGACTCATTAGAGACAGATCCTATGCATGCCTCTAATCAATCTATTTAAAGTTTCCTAGAGACAGCAAAAAGAAAGAATAAAAATACAAGCACTCTTTTGTCTACTAGTAGCTATTCTTTGCAAGTGTATTAAAAACCTTTCTCCATTTTTGTCCCTGCCTGTCTGCTGGCTGGGCGCCAGTCCGCAGCACCCACTAGATGTTGTTATTTCAACTGCCCAGCAGCATTGGTAGCTCTCCCCCCTCTCAGCTACCTGGAGGACTGAAAACACACTTGGAGACTTCAAAAGGGGAGTGAAACTTGGCTTGCTTAAGTACTGTTCAGCCAGAATTGTTCCATCTCATTCTCCTGGTCCCCCCACTGTGCCCCCACTTGTGGGGCCCTGCAGAGCAGCCACCAGATCTCCCTGCCCCAGGGTCATCAGCAGCCATGAGTTCCTCCTTTGCATGTGCTGTAATTACTGACCATTGTTTCTTATGGATTAGCATGGTTTTCCTATTTCATTTTCTTTTTCAGTCTGCTTACCAGCACAGGTATTTTTCTTCAGAAATATATGACCCATCCCTGGAGGTGTTCAAGGCCAGGTTGAATGGGGCCCTGGGCAGCCAGACCTCGAGGGTGGCAACCCTGCCCATAGCAGGGGAGTTGCAACTGAATGGACTTGAGTTCTCCTCCATCCCAAGTCGCTGTATGATTCTGTGATTTACTCTATTTTCCTTTTTGTTACTTCCTACCTTTCTCATGCTGGTAGTCAGGAATCTCCAGGAGTCTCTTGAATTGCACAGAGCTGCACTGCTTTTATGTTGTGGGCACACACATCTCTGTGGCTTGTTCAAGGTTCAGCCCTCAGTGTCCCTGTGGGATCCCAGTCCTATGTCCCAAAGGCCACTGCATAACCCCTTTGCAACCTCTGTGGCAAAACGTAGGGAGGAAATCTGTCTAAGTGCTGCGTGGAGATATTTATCTAACAATGCAGTGGTCACAAAATACAAAAGTATTTTGAATGCACATATGGCAGGCCAACTACCTCATCAGCACAAAATGGCTGCAGTAAAATAACATAACGAGAGGAAAAGCATATTTATTAACAAAACCAAAGCATACACAGGATCTTATAAAATTTCTGAGCTGACAGCAAGCAGGATCAGGCAGAGCATGTTAGGTTGTCTCTACTATGAGATAAACTGGTCTATTAAATTGCTCAAATGGTGACCTCTATGGTTTTGTCCCACAATGATATTACCCAAGCAGTTCTCCTGGGCAACGTGTGGAAGGTGACATTGCCTGGAAGCCATCAAAATGCTGTGGAGCCTGGAGGAGGCCCGGAAGCAGATCATGTAATGTGGCTGCCGTACACTGCTTGCTCATCCCCACCTCCCATCCCCATCTTTTTTCATGGCCCTTCTCATGGCAGTGGAGAGCTTAACTCTGCAGAACAAATCCTAACAGTAGAATCATAGAATGGTTTGGGTTGGAAGGGACCTTAAAGACCACCCAGTTCCAACTCTTCTGCCATGGCAAGGGACAACTTCCACTAGACCAGGCTGCCTCCGGAATGCCTCCAGGGATGAGGCACCCAGAGCTTCTCTGGACAGCCTGTGCCAGGACTTCATCACTATCTGGGTAAAGGATTTCTGCCTAACGTCTAATCTGAACGCACCTTCTTTTCAATTAACGCCATCATGTCTTTTCCTAGCACTGCATACCCTGACAGATACTCCTTCCCCAGTTTTCCTCTAGGCCCACTGTAAGTATCTCCACTAGCTCCACTCCTTCTTGTGCTGGGGACCTCAGGCCCAGGCTCAGTACTCCAAGTGGGATCTTACGAGGACAGAGACATGCAATCACTTCCCTTGCCCTGCTGACCACCACATAGCACAATTCCAGTTCAGATTTTAGCAGAGTGCAAATGTCCCAAATATCAACTCTTCCAATCTAATTTTTTCCAGGTATGATACAGTTATCAGAAAATCCACTTTACCCTCATAAAGATTTCTGTGGCATTTTTCTCAGAACAGCAGCAGTAATCTAAACACAAACATATTTAGTAACGGTTTTTTAGGGCTGGATTTTGGAGAAACTGAGTGGTCTTATAATTTCTCTGTTTACATAACTAATTGAGAATGAGGGAACCACATTGGCAGGTTCCAAGTAATTGTGTTTACTAAATATGCACAACATGCAAGGCTGGGCTTAGTTATATATACACACTGCTGCTCCAACTGGATTTTGGCAGCCTCTGGAACATGAAAGACGTTGAGTGAATTGAACTGCATCATCATCATAAGAAGAACAAAAAATACTCTCCAAATGAAGGCCAAGCTGAATATACGTGCATGCCTAATTCACAGGCTCATAAGCAGGGAACAGCTAAATGGAAGTACACCAGAAATAAGGTTTTTCATTGTTCCCTTCCTGTATTTCAGGGTAAAAGCTGAGCAGATCCAATAGATCTTTGGAGAATTCCTCATTTCTTGATTTTTTCCAAGATACATAGTAATAGAGAATTTCTGTTTATGTTCTCCCAAAGCAACTGACTAAATAATTCCAGATGATGGAATTTTTGTTTTGATCCTAGAGCAAACCAAAAATTTTCATCCTAGGAATATGTAGTCACCACTGTATCTTCTTCTTTATGGGATGCTGTAAAACAGAAGCATTTCACCTTCCTCTTTCTTAGCTTGGCAGATTAACTGCTCACCACAGTTTTTCAGGTAAGAACAAAGTAGGAGAAAGGCAGCTCAAATAAAATTAAACAAAAAAAATTGATCTGAAATTGTTGATTTTGACCAAAAATGTGGTATGTTCTAAATGATGTAGAACACAAAATATCATCTTTAAGTGCATCTACAACAATTAATGTTTAGAAGTGTACTTCTGCTTTGAGACAGATGGACAGACAGATGTAATTCCTGATGCCACGTAATGTGTAGTATTTTGTAATTTCAGACAGTGTTTCAAAAAAGAATGTTTTGTTTTGTTTTAAATAAAATCTGGGTGCTAATTTGAAATGATATCCCATTGCACAGTTTTAGCTGGAAGTGGGAATGTCATGCCATGGTGATGTATCTGAGTGAAAATATTTACACCTTTTAGAACCAATCTAAAAAATATTTGACTTCTGGTCCAAATATACACTAACTTCTGTATGTCTAAATATTCCTGTGAGAGATATATATTTTTCTACATAGCTCAATAGTATATGGTATATGTACTTGAGAAATATATGTGCACAACTGACATAAGCATGACAGTAGATACTGGAGGTGCAAATATCCCAGTGTTCTCTGCAGTCCCATCATCAATTCCAGCACGCTCATTTTGCCAGTATGTCCATCAGCAACAAATCACAGCTTTTTCACAAAAGATGGGTCACAAAAGACAGAAAGATGGTCTCTTTTTACCAACAAATATAACACTCCGCTTGTGTTCTATTGGAGTTTTATTACCGAGTTACACTTCATTTCTTTGCCAGGAAAGTGTCAGGGAAATTTTAAAAGGCTGTGAGTCTACTAAGACTTTTTGTGCAGATTTTGTGCTGTGCTTATCCTAAAGAAGGTACAGACACTTTCCTTTTCTCACATTTTCCCCTCCTTCTTCTCAACTTTCTCACAGTGTTTTTGTGAGGCAGACTCTGTGTCATTCAATTATTTCCTGAAGCAAACTAGAGAGATAAGCCTTTGAAAACTGAGCCAGGACCAGATTTCTCTCACTGTATTAAATCATACTGATCAAAACCATAGAAAGATAGAGAAAAAAAAAAGATTGGGACAGAGAGAGTGGGAAATGGGGATCCCTGGATATAGCAGTAAATGAGATGAGACCATCCAATATCAAGTAAACTTTCTTGGACAGAGAAGGAGTTGCTGGGTGTGTAATACTGGTAAGCTATGCTGGAGAGAGACCTTGCCAAGCAGAGTGTTTTGGTCAGCCTCTTTAGAAAGAAGAATGGGAAAGTAGGTAAAAGGTTAAACACAAAAAAAGTGCATCACTCCTCCTGTTAGCTAATGCTTGGACAACATCTCTGTGAACCACAGTCTTGCTTCTGTGGAGGGCTCTGTCCCAGCTCCCATGAGAGAGAGATTTCCCTCTTGTCTTGCTGAAATGTTTGGAGGAATATTTGTTGAGGTGACGGAGAGTGTGCACAAACGTATCTGAGATTCTGTGTTTAGTGTTGCTTAAGCTCCTCGTACTGAAAAGACATGGCATTTTTTTCAGTGCCACATCCACTATGTTTGCTTACAGAAAAGGCTTCTATGACTTCTATGGCTAAGTACAATAGGTAATACATCAGACGCTGGGGAAAAAATATATATAGTTAAATAAATTATAGACACATAAATTATCCTTTTCTATTTAGGCATACGAACAATAGTTTGAACCCAAAAAAGGCTTTCATAAATGTCTAACACACAGATCATCTCTAATTAAGTATATTTCTTCCCAGCATGAGACCTTGCCTGACAAGTCCCGACTCTCAGCTTGGACAAATTCTGGAAGTGTTTACTGCTTCTTATGTGCTCCTCTTGCAAAAGGGTTGGAGCAAGCTATAAAGCAGTATACAAATCACTGAGCACTCTGGTGGGGAGGCCTCGCTGTTTCAGGCTGTTCAAGAGATGAGTATCTGTCATCTTAGTGTATTGTCAGCAAAGCACAAAGCTGTTTTGAATGAGGCTTGTGCAATAAAGGGAATGTGGCATTTCTTTAAATAGGCAAGAAGCTTCGGGGAGCATTTCTGCATGAGCAGTGAACTTTTTTGTCATAGTTCTCTTAAAGTCCTCGAACTTTAAGCTGTACTGAAAACTGCTCTTTGCTTCAGCAGGATAATTCACAGCTCTTCCACACTGTAGCTCTGTGTAGTAAAAGCAAAATTAAATCATCCATTTAAGACTACAGCTGTGGGCAGCTCAACGAGATGTTCTTCTGAAGGGCTTTTCAGGGTTGTTTTGAGCCAGGTTTTGAGGGATCCCTCCTGGTCTCCAACATGCTACAAACCCAGATGACTGAATGGCAAACTCTGTGACTCCACCTGTAGATCTATCTTTTCCCCACTTCACAGCTGGGATGCACTTGGATATTATGGAATACTATGTGTTTTTCAGATCCTATTCTTTAATTAACAGGGACTGCACTGCTTGTGCCCAGACAGGATCCAGTTGTTTCCCTTGTCCCTGCGGGAGCGCCACCTGTCTTCCTCCTCTCCATTTGCTGCCTGGGAAATTCCCTCTGGTAAGGCAGAAGGCAGCCTGACCCTGTCTCTAAGTGTGCTTTTTGACAGTTCAAGTGAATATGCTGTCCTTCCCATTTGCAGCAAGTTCTGATGTGTTATCCATCACCAGTTTTGAGGGGAACCCATTAGGGACACTGCTGAGTGAACAAGATGGGTGCTGCAACACTTGTAATATGAAAAGTTAAAAGAGTCTCTGTGGTAAAAAAAAATGATGGAGAAATGCTTAAAGTAACACATCTCCTTCCTAATGTCGCGTGCCATACCTACTGTGGGAGTGATGCTCCCTCTGAGAGTGTATTTTGGCAAGCAAAAATCCTATGAGCCTTATTATTATTTATGTCTGTTTTTCTTCAGAGCTGTTTTTGGTCAGGATCGTGATTTATGGTGTTTTTATTCCAGCTATACGGGAGATTCTCTGATGGATTACAATCTCAGCAAACTCTAACTCCAGAGGAAGAATGACAACTAAGAGACTTAAACCAGACTTTTTACTTTCCTGGAGAGGAACTGGCTCACAGTATTCGGTGTTTTTTTAATCCTCTACCTCCCTCTGCTGTTATCACAGCGAAGTTCCTCAACAATGGGAAGTCATGTACTTGCAGCTTCAATTTCCATGCTCTCGCTCCTGGCAATGATGGGAGACACGGACAGCAAACCAGACAGTTCCTTTATGATTGACACCGATCCCAGCCGCTGCATGAGGCATCATTATGTGGACTCCATCAGCCATCCCCTGTACAAGTGCAGCTCAAAGGTAAGGGTTCTGCTCTCCTGCAGGAGAAGTGTTAAAATAAGTCATTTTGTGTGAGTTCCTCTGCATAAATTCCTGCAACCCAATCACAGATATATACAGAGGTAGAGGCATCTGAGTGTACACATCAGCTGGAGAGGAAGTCTCTTGATTCTTTCTTCTTCAGAAGGAGAAATACATGGTGATGGTCAGACTAACATGCAGTAAATGAGGTGATTCAAAGGAGCACTCTCAGGAATCAGCTGCCAACACCAAGGAGATGAGCGAGTTCAGAAGAGTAGGTTACTGTGGAGAAGCTGTGGTGCCCTATCCCTGGAAGCGCTCAAACCTGGGTTGAATGGGGCCCTGGGCAGCCTGAGCTGGTGGGGTGCAGCCCTGACCCTGGCAGGGGTTGGGATAGGTGGGCTTTGAACTCCCTTCCAATGCAAACCATTCTGTGATTCTATCCCAGTTAGCCCCTCCTGTAAATTAATTTTAATTGGAGCCTTCCTTTGAGATTTCAAGCCTGAAAAATCTAGTGTCAAAGAAGTCTGGGAGTCCACATATGTAGCCTACAGTCATTTATTTCATTGTATAGAGAAAAAGAATTAGGAGAAACAATGCAAAAATCCTTGCTGGTCCTATTTATCTTGTCATCATTTGCTACAAACAAAGACAGTATATATGCGGTCTTCACACTGGCCATTCTACTGTTCCTCAGAAAGGGATTTACCTCACACACCCAGTTCCTGGAGTTAATGAAGAGGGACAGCAGCCCATGCAGCACTTGTACCAGCTGCAACATGTAACAGAGCAGTTGGTGGGAGTTTTAGGAAAGAAAGGCTGGCTGTGGTATAGGAGCAAAGCCCATCCACAGTGAACCTGGGAGCATTTGTGAGTCAAGGGGAGCCATGTTGGCTGACTCTTTCACCACCTGGATGTCTTTGTACATAGAATGAATTATTTACTTCTCAGGTTCAGCACGGGGATAAGGTAATACCGCTAGCAGTAGCAGGCCAGAAAGTGTAAAATAAAGCACAGAAAGAAGAGGATCATCCCATCTTAATGCTCAAGGACTGCAGGAAAAGGCAGCTGCAGAGGCTGGGCTCCATCCTGGAGTTGCTCAAGGCCAGGATGAATGGGTCCTTTGCAGCCTGGTCTGGTGGGTGGCAGCCCTGCCCACAGCAGGGGATTGTGGCAAGGTGCACTTTACGGTCCCTCCAACCCATTCTGTGATTCTATGGTTATATGATTAATCTGCATGTCTTGCTATCCTTCTGCTTGCTGGGGAAGCCAACAGCTTCCAAAATGGGCAAGTGGGACAGCCAAGCTTGAGTCTCTGTAACATTGGTCTCATACCAGCGCTGCCTAACATGCTATGTAAATATTTACTTCTGATCCACAGCAGCATGAGATCAGAGGTTTTTGTCCGACTGCTCTTGAATTCAAACAACAAAAGCATATATTACTTGAGATTCAGAAGAGGGTTTTTTCTCTGATTTTAGCCCACACTAGATTTTCCTCCCATATGGAAAGCATCCAGCATTACAGAAATTATAATGGCCCCAGCACACTGCTTCCAACAAGAGGATGAGTGCAATGGGTCCTAGCCTGACCTCTGTCCATTCAGCTCTGGAGCAAGAGGGATGGGGCTTCTCCAGACCAGGGCCAAAGGCTCCCGTGTCCCAGTCTCCTCTTGTGGGCTGTTACCCACCCATTCACCATTCCTTGGCTGCATTGAATTCCCACAGCATGGCTTTGCCTCTGCTTAGCCCTACATCATTGACAGCTCTCCAGCAGCCACCATGGTTGCCAGCATTTCCTGATGCCTTTCTACTCCCAGCTTCACAGATTCACATGCTTCTGCATCTCCAGAGCCACCTGCCTCATTCTGCTGCTTTTTTTGTTTGTTTTTTAAGTGCTGAGGATATTGCTTGCTACGCAACTCTTGGGCTTTGGTGCCTCATCCGTGTCTCATGGTGGAGGCTTTTAGGATCAGAGTATGAGGTGAATCCTGAGTTCACATGACCAAGAACTGCAATTGCACCTTTCTAGGATTCTGTTGGTCTTTTGCACAATGGCTTGGATGTCCATGCTCCTGTAAACCCGAACAAAACCCTTTCACTCTGTGGTTGCTTTCCTTCCTCCATCATCATCATCGATGCACTCCAGGTTTATGTTAAAAGCCTTGCTGCTACAGGCATCACATAGAAAAAAGAATGAGAGGCAAGAAGGAAGGAAGGAAGAGAAGGAGGGAAGGAAATAAGGAAAGAATCCCACCACCAACTTGTTTTCTTATCATTCCTATGGGCAGAGAAAAATAATTAAGCATATAAGACTGGGAATGATGAAAATGAGAACACGAAAAGCAATCTAATGAAAAACATATTCTTTTAAAACAGAGCTTTGATAAAAAATACTATTGACATAAACATCTGTAACTAACAGCAGAAATGTCCATAACATTTTTTTTAAATGAGGCCTTTGAAGGAAATCATGTTTGAAAATATTATTATCTCTCCATTTGTCAAGTTAAGCTCTTTCTTTGTTAAGGTCTCAGGGATCTGAATCATTCTGATAGACAGATGGCTTCTGTTCTGGATCTAGCACAGATCTGTAAACACAGATCAATATTAGACTTGCTAATGAAAAGTAGATGTGATATCTGCTCCTGTATATACTGTAATAAAACATAAGTCAAAAAAAGGAAGGTTCTGCTGGAGTAGCTATGAGAATTGCAGTACTTCTTGTTTCCACTATGTTTCCATTTTGGAGCTAGGACTGAATTTCTGTCAGAGATTTTGCCCTTTTTTTGAGTGATGCATTGGTTTCACCAAGCCATCTTTTTTCACTCTGCACATTTTCCTTTTTAGTGCAACACAGAAATACAGAAGTTAAAAATGACTTCAGAAATTGCAAGATGTATTACTTTTACTGTCCATCTTGGTTAAACAAGGATTACATTTACCATATTTTTCTGTGGAGACGCTGCCAGTTATATGCACATGGAAAGTAGTCTTGCTACATTTGGAAAAGTTCCCCAGGTCTAATTTAACCATTAAAATCCCTCTTGCTTGTGACATCAAGCAGATGTAGAAAATAGGTTTCCAAAGCGTTTGGAAACGTAGCCCATTATAGTAACAGAATATATAGACAAAACAAAGGAGGGATGAAATAAGGTAATTTGCTCCTGTAAAGCCCAAGTGTTTTCCTTTGAATTGAAGGAAATACAAGTGTGTCAGCTTGTGAGGTACTGACTTTTCTGGCTGTATTGGATTTTGTCTGACCTCTGTCACTAACCTTTGATGTGTTGGACTGAATCATAGAATTGCTCAGATTGGAAAAGATCTTGAAGACCATCAAGTCCAAACACAACCTAACCATACTACCCTAACAGCCCACCACTAAATCATGTCCCTGAGCACCACATTCAAAGGCTTTTTAAACACATCCAGGGATGGTCACTCAATTACCTCCCTGGGGAGCCTATTCCAGTGCTTAAAAACCCTTTCTGTAAAGAAGTTCTTCCTGATATCCTACCTAAACCTCCCCTGGTGTAACTTGAGGCCATTTCCCCAGTGCCTTGCAATCACAATCAGATCCTCATAAATTATGGTATCAGCTGTCACAACTGCTTCCTCCAGATGTACCAGAGGCACGCTGTTGCTGATAGCTTAGCGGTAAAGAATCTGGGCCAGTGAGACGAGCATCAGGTGTATAAAAGTTTAGCAAACATTGGAATGCATTTGCTCAAGAGGTGGCTCTTGAGGATTACCATTCCTGATTGCAGCCAGGCCATGAAAGCTGTATGCAAGCCTTTGCTCATGCATTCAGCACATCCGCTCAGGCCTCAACACATTCTCAAAGAGTGTAGAAAACGAGGATACTAATACTAAGAGTAACAAACCAATTAAAAAGTTCTAAATTTCCAGAATGTGGTTGTTCTGTAGCTGTCAGATGGATATGAGATTACTGACTTGGAGTGGAAAAAAAACATACTTTTCTAACTGCTCAAACAAGCACGCAGGACCCCCACTGCTCTTGTCTAGCATTGCTCTATATTTCCGTGAATAGCATCACAAGGTGACATGAACAGGCTACTATGCGCGGGGGAGCAGGGGAGCCAGGAGGCACAGATATCAGGTTATAAAATACCCACACATTTTTACTATATATACACTTACTGTATTACTGTGCCATGCCATCATATCATTACTAGTAATTTAGGCGATAATCTCTATTGCACTATAGTATGTGATGCAATAAACAGCTGGTGCTATTGATTAAATGGCAAAGCAAAGCTTTTAAAGTAGATGCTATTTCTAGCTCATTTGCACACCTGTCAAAATCTGCTGGTGCTCTTTGGGATTTATGAGGAGGGGGTTAAATTTTGCTGAGGGCTTCAGGTTAGTTCAGAAGTTTAGAAAGCCATCAAAAATGGAAAATATGAATCGATTTCTCCTGCAAGTTTGGCTTGGTATGCATGGTGTAGTGCCATTTCAAAAAATGTACACTATAATCCAAAAATAAAATAGAAGACCAACTCTGTGTAACTTTGCTGCCACAGGCTGCCCATAAAGGTGTTGGAGTCACTGTGCCTTAAAGTGTTCAAGAAACATGTGGTTGTGTCACTGGGAGATGTGGTTTAGTGGGCAATATTCATGTTAGGTGGACAGTTGGACTAGATTATCTCAGATTATTTTAGAGGTATATAATTCTATTTTATACAGTCTTAATACTAACTATACTCTTCTGAAGAGCTAGGTAGCATATTTAATTCCCCATAAAAGTGTAAGAATTTGCTTAAAATTGTACTAAACTTTGCTCTACAAGGTGGTAATAGCTGCTTCTAACCAGATGATCATCTCATCTGTAGAAGGTCCTTTCCATGTTTTATGTGGAGCTTTGGAGACTGCAGCCATCTCCACTTATCAACAAGGGATTTTTGGGAACAGAAACACTGGATTCCCATGGGATTTCATTCTTTAGCTCCTCTCATTGTGCAAGTTGACCTATTCTGGTCATAGCTCAGTTGGTGCATCCAGGAGAAGAATCATGGAGCCTATTTGGCTTTCAGAAGATCTTACTAAGGAACCCCCATACTTTGCAAGCAGTTCATGCTCGTCTATGTTTTCTCTGCCTTGTGTTATGCAGTGCATTTTACACAAATACAACTGATGTAATAACACATTTACACATATAATTGCAAACACACACTCAAGGTGATCTGTGCAGAAGACAGTGCCAGAAGCATAATTCTTTAGAAGCAATAAACTAAGCTTCTTTATATTTCTAATTTACCCGTTTATATTTCTAAGCAATTGAGAAATTTACTGACCCTGATGACCAGTTCTGCTGATCACTAGTACCTAAACTCAAAACACTGGAAAATACCCAACCAAAGCACTAGGCTGGCTGATGATTTAATGGCTTAGATGCCATAAACCCAAGGCCAGCAAGCCATGCTTGCAGTCACTGTGCCTGGAAAACAGGGCTGGCTGCAAATGTTTTGAGCCCAAGGTCAGCTGTCAGAGAACCAGGCCCAATATTTGTTACTAGTAATGGTGTCTGGGACCATAGGAAAGACTCAATTTTTCTCTGCCCTCATTACCTCCTTCGCTTTCTTGGACAAACTGTACTGCAGAGGGATGGGTGGGGGTGCCATGGGTGGAGAGATGTGGTCGGTGATGACAGGTCAGCCAGACTGGAAGAACATTCCTAACCCATCTCTCTTCCTTCACAGATGGTGCTGCTGGCTCGCTGTGAAGGACGTTGCAGCCAGACATCGCGCTCGGAGCCAATGGTGTCCTTCAGCACTGTCCTAAAGCAGCCTTTCCGCTCCACTTGCCACTGCTGCCGGCCCCAGACCTCTAAGCTGAAGGCCATGCGGCTGCGCTGCTCAGGTGGCATGAGGCTCACCGCCACATACCGCTACATCCTCTCCTGCCACTGCGAGGAATGCAACTCCTAGGGACGCGCCTGCTGCAGTGCTGCAGGACCGGGATGCTGCTGCTGGGGAGGGCTCCCAAGAAGTGACTGGAGATGAGGCCGACAGTCCCAGGACACAACTAACTGGGATGGATAGAGCTGAGAGATAACGAGGAATATCTCCTGGGGCCTGAATGGTTCTGGTACCAATCTGTGGCAATGGCAAAAGCACGTGGACTTGGTTTTAAGCAACCTTTCTTTTTTGCTGAAAGGATATTTTTGCCAGTTTCTCCTTTTTCAGGCCCAGCTCATGATTTACTTTGGGCCCCAAGCAGTAACAGCTCAACATAGAACGCTGGAGGGGCAGCAGCACTGTGCACTGGAAGCTAGCTTCCAGACAGATCATGGGCATTGGTTCTCACATACAACATCTTCACTTGTCTGTATTCTCAGACTCCAGGCTACATCAGCCTTCACGCAAACTGTGTCGTTGGCAAGGGCTACCCACTGCTGATTTATCAGCCAAGTGCTGGATAGCTTTAACCTGTGGTTTAGCAGAAATTACAAATAAATCACTGAAAAGTGAACCTAATGCAAAATGTACCCCTGGGATTACCCAGCGCCAGCTGAAAAGATTATTTGCAGTATACAGCTTCACAGTTGAGTGGTTGAGGGACTCTTGAGAAGTGTAAGGTCATGAGGCATTATTCCCCTCTAAAAGCATGTACATGTGACACATTACATCTGTCACAAAAGCCATTATTCAAACACTAAAAACTAAACAAGAAATAAAATGATGCATACTAAATGGAGTCTTTTCTTAATCTATTGACGTGTAGAGCCAGAGCTACTGAAATAATGACCAAATCTAGGATTTATTTTCATCTACAGACCACCAAGTATCGTTTATTCCTTTTAAAGATAGTTGGGAAATATGGATGTGCCCATATAAGGTTTAAGGCAGAGTTTGAACCCCAGTATTATCCCCTGGACCACAGAGGTTGTTTCAAGTTTCAGTTTATTTAAAGATCTGTTACCTGGGGTCCTGGTGGACTCACCACCCAGATGGCAACCACTGGGGAATGCACAGCTCATGGCTGGGCCATATGTCCACCTACATCTGGATGAGCCATTCTTTGGATAGAAATCCAAAGAATCTCCAAATGGAGATGTCAGGAGCATCCTTGCTGTGTAAGAATTCAATTTCAGAGCAGTTTCTACTCCTTGGCAGCATTGGCATGCTCAGTCCCTTCTTAGAGTTGTTTCCCTGCACAGCAATGTCTGTTGGAGGTCCTTTGGCAAGGATGGGAAGTCTTGTCCAAGCTCAGGATTTGCTCCATCTGTCCAGCACCATCCTGTCTGTCTGCAGGAAATGATGAAGAAAGAGATTCCCAAGGGCTACCAGGGAGAGCAGCTGCCCTGTGTTCCGCTCAGAGGTTACTGGGGCTGGTAGGGCAAAACCAAATTCCTCTTCCACTGCCTTCTTATGATGGGTATGCATTGCATATGAGGGAACATGGGGAAGAGATACCAGCCTTGTGAGCCAGATTCTGGAGGAGGATGGTGGTCAATCAGAAGTGGGGTCAAGTACTCCCACAGGCACATGTTGCAGAGAAGTTTGTAGGCATGGAAAGAACTCTGTTTTCTAGAGATGGCTTGGAGATAGGCAGTTTTCAACATCATAGAGCTGCAGGCAAACAAGCAGGTATATCAAGAAGTTAGAAACCAAGGGGCTCAGATTAAAATTTCAAATACATGCACGATGAGCCCTTTTCAAATACATGCACGATGAGCCCTGATGAGCTCATTAGACACCAGTATTCATTTCAATGCTGTCAGTTATTCTCACATGTCATACATAGTTTGAACATCAATAGGTGAGAGGTGGGAGCATGAGCCAAGCATTATTACCAGATTACTTTATGTAAAAACTTATGTGCATTCTTTTTCTACTCTTCCAATTTCCAGCATCCAAAAAAGCACCGTCTCTACTGTTAATTGTGTGTAGAAAAATTCAGTAATTATCTGAAACTTCAGCGATGCCTTTGCTCACCAAATAACTGCACCAAAGTCTTGTGTGATCTAAGCACACAAGGAGTGCTACACAACTATCTAAGGAATGATAATTTAGGGAAATAAAGGAAATATTTATAGTGAAAGAAAAACCCAGCTGGTATTTATTTTCACATCCCTTCACTGTCACAGTGCAAGAGTTATAATTGCTCAAATAGGTTTCCCAGAAGACATTTGTGTTTCAACAAATGTTTTTTTTCCCCTCTCACACCCTACATTCCTTCCACTTTTGCTTGATTCCTCTAATGAAATCATCGCCTTGTGATCACAGCCTGTTGCCAGACACAAAGGTGAAGTGGATTTCACATAATCTAATTGAACTATTGAATCAAATAAATTCACAGAAGGAATATAACAGAAATCAGAAGTCATAAGGCAAATATGTCAGTAAATAGCTAGAAATGGTTACTAAACAATGAATCAAACTACAAATTCTTCTCTTGGCTTTGTCGGGCAATCTTCATATTAATGCTTAAGAAAAGGTGGGGATAATCTTCAAAACCAAATACCCAAAAGTCCACTATAAAACCATATTTTGATACTTCTGATGCTTACAAAAGGCAAAGAAATGTTGAACAAGGCACACATGGTTACTCATGGCAAAAATCAAAAGGCATATTTGAAAAAAATGAAAATGAGTCTTCAGGTAAAAACTACAGGATTTCTCTCATAGTCAGAAAGAGTCTAAATGATGTTTGGAAATGTATCAGCTTCCTGATTTCTTAGCCTGGCCCCACACTAGATACTTCAGCTCTGTTTTACAAGTCTGACTACAGTGTCTGTGCATCTTAAATTGTGTTGATTTTGAACAGAAAGGGAAAGGTCTGGTTGTCCAGATAATTCTATGGGGCAGCGTGCTTTGCTAAAGCATTCTCTCCCTGAGACTTAAATGGCAATCTTCTCCTTCAGCTATGCCTCACCCCTCAGGTACTACTTTCCCTCACACAAATGCTGGTTCAGCTGTGTGGTTCCTGCAGTTTACTCGAGATATAATGTAGACTTCTGATTCCTATGCCTTCTGTTCTCTTGATGAAGTTTCTGAACCCAACTTGGATGGCTCTTGAAAGCCACCCAACCCAGCTGTGGTTGTGTTACATTTCAGCTGGATTGATGGTACTCATGGAGACCACAAGAGAAACACTGGACCTTTGCTAGTGTCCTTTCCTTGCAGGAAAAGTCTTATAAAGCCACTGTGTTGAGGTCCCTTCCAATCGTGGCCATTCTGTAATTCTGTAATTCTGTTTGTTGTATTTATCAGAAATAATTTGTGATGTGACAGAGTAAAAGAGCCCACAACCTTGCGTATTGTAAGTATTCTGCCCCCAGTTTCAGTAGGTCTGCTTTAGTACTTAAAGCTGCATAGATTCAAAAACATTGTCTACATATATATAAGACTTCATATAAATCATAAAACTTAATAATTGTTTTCTTGTGATGTACCCAATAATTCTATTTACACTTCAGTTTGCCCTCTGAGCTTGGAGCACTTTTACTAGAGAAGAGATCTCAAGCCTGACCATCTCCCTGTGGCCCTTATCAGGTAGAAATGTGTAGACTGCAATCAGGATTCGTACAAACACAGCAATGCTCTGCTGTTCTGTGGGTCTTGCTTCAGAGTTCTTAGGATCTGATGCAAGAAAAGCAATTCCTGTGGGCTCCTTCCTGTGAGTGAGCTGTTTTTCAGTGTCTAGTCCTACATGCTTAAAGATAGTGAAAGGTTTCAAACTAAATTTATATGAAATGGGATTAAATCCTTCAGGAAACTGAGGTCTACTTAGGAAGGAATTTTTCCTCTGACTTGGGCCATAAATATTTCTGAAAAATCCAGATGCCATTAGGCTGCAGGAAAAAAAAAGGAAAAAAAAAAAAAAGGAAAATAAAAGAAAAGGGTCAGCAACATCTGATGTGCTAGGATTCGTCTCCCCCAGCTCTGTACTCTAAACACTTGGGACTCTTTCTTGCTGACGCTTGTTCTGCCTATAGAATGACACAGATTCAGGAGGAGAAGTGGAAAGTCCTCTTCTTTGAAAGCATCACTTCCCACCTTTGTAACAGTGGAGGAGCACTGAGGGATGTCTGAAATCCAAGTCTCCACTAATTTATGTGAGTATTGAAATGGCTGACTGCCTGCTTTTGTCCTTGAAAATTAAAAATACATGTTTCCGCAGAAGTGAAAATCTTAAAGGTGGTCAGCCCCATACCTTTACAAAGGATGAATCTGGTTCTATTAAAATTAAGAACTTTTGATTTTTTTATTACATTCACATATATATGCAGATGTACTTCACAGGAATGTCTCCTCAACCTCACAGCCTTCTACCACTACTTGAGAAGCTGGCAGGAGCAAAGACCTTTCCTAGACCCTCTCTACTGCTCTTGGAAAGCAGCTTTTTTCACCTCAGATTGCATAGGTAAGCAGTACAGCAAGCAGGTGGCCTGAGTCATTCACTGTTCTCCTCTTGTGAGACATCACAGCAGACACTGAAGTCCATGTAAGTTCCACAGCTGACTGTCAAATGCAGCCCTGCATGGTCACTTACTGCAGCCAAATAAGTATTGCAGGCAGAAAGTTCTGTTGCTGCTTGTATTAAAGGGATTGGAGTCACCCCATATGGAGTTGCTTTTTGGCATTTGCTTTTTTTATCTATACTTTTCATGAGTCTCTTCTTTTAGAAACTGCAGATCTTCTCAGATTCTGCTTTGATCTCTTTAGGATGTGGACAAATAGAATTATAGGCTTTTTCACAAATTTTTCTTAAGCTGTTTAGATACTGTGTTGTTCCTCATCTTTGGAATAGTATTTTAAAGTAGTTCTGTTCTACAGACTGTAACTGCAACAGGATGAAATACAGCAGAAGGTGCTTGAGGGAACAAAGACATCAAATTTTACACCTTGCTGAAATGATAGTAAGGCCAAGAGAAGGAGAGGGAGAAGGATTCATTTCCATAGTGCACCTGCTCAGGATACTGGCAGCCCTTGGCAGCTGATCTGTGGGACATTTGATGCTCTGAATCTAGGAGAATTCAGAATTTTGCTCATTTAAATTTTTTCATTCCTTTCCACTGCCTTGCTTCTCCTCACCTTCCATGCACTTCTAACCCATGGAAGCAAATGTGAGTCTGGGATCTAGCTCATATCAGTCACATCTCTATGGTGTCACATATGGAGCTTGTCCAAACACCCATTTAGTAACTGGGAATGGGAAGCTGGCAGGTGAAACTTACGACCTGCTCCAGCAAGACTGCACAGACTTAAAATTGATTCTAGTATGTTCAAATTTTATTCCTCCAGGGACTAAGGCTACCACTGCCTCCCATATTTAGTTCCCTTTGAAGTGCAGGAGAGTTCCTGCACTGGGAGAATCCATTCCCATGCTTCTGAATTTATCCCATGGTGTTTCATTGCTTGTTTGTTGCTGCCTAGTGTTTTTTGTTTTGTTTTGTTTTCCTCTTTAGCTGCATTGATAGATGCAGAGATATGTGTGTATATATGTGCACAGAAAGACAGGAAGGGTAAGAGTGTTGACTCTTGGAGGTAAAAACTATAGTCTGCAACCATGACTCTGATAATCACAGCTTTGTAGGAAGTGATTTATAATCTTTCAGCTGGGTATAAAAGAGAAATGGACAGACGCACACACACACAAATCTACATTTATATATTCATAAATATATTTTTATGTGTTAATTGTACCATAGCTGCCAGGCAAAACTGCTGCATGACCTTGTGCTGCA